AAGGTGGGAAAATATAACACAGCATCCTCATGGAAATAGTCTGGGATCTGCTGCTACCCTCAAAATGAATAATTCATAATACTGAAGAATAAATTAATTGATTTAGAAGATGAAGCAGGCAACATGCAACCTGAGTTTTGAGACCAAGCACAGTTTGCTACTAAATTGGATGTTCTGGTTTAGAACGTCAATAGCAGAGATAAATCAAACCTAAAGGAGGTAGAAAGGATTCAGGGGATCCTGGTGAGGAAAAGCCACTCTTGTTACAAGACAGATGTTTTCTAAGAAAGAAACTAAACTTTTGTTAGTGCTTCCTTCTTTCCTCTTTTAAATTCCATCCAAAAAAAGAAACTTAAAGAGATTCAAGTTCCAACCTCAGTGCAAACCAGGACTCATCACCTTGTCTTAAAAACACTCCTTTTGGAGGTGCCTCACGGGACAGCAGCAGAATCCCTCTTCTCCAGCCCATTTTTATGGAGTACCATATCATTTTTAGTCCTTAGGCACAGACAATACCCGCTTGGCTTTGGGAAAACACTCACCGTCCCCGTGAAGCCCAACTCCTAACTCCCTGCAACATTCCTGCTCACAGCTGTAGCATCCAAGGCTGGAACAAACCACCTGATGCCAGGCTTGTCTCCAGCTCCATCCCCCTCACCTGGCTGCAACTCATTCCAGTCCTTTCCCCTCACCTCCCTGACTCGTTGCTCCTGCTGCATCAATGGCAGCTGCATGGGGAAGATGCTGCAGGAGATGGGAGGAAGAGGAGGAAGACACAAAGAGGAAGCCCCAAGAGCCGTCAGAAGCACATGACAACTCAGCACCCCCAGGCAAAGCAGCAGACGAGGAAATGATCCATTTTTCCTGCTTTTACTGCCAAAGTGCCGCCCCCAAACAATGCTCAGCACAATGGCAAGGGTGTTCTGGTGTGAACGCCAAGCGAGACCGGGGTGAAAGGCTCAGCTGACAGACATCCAACCATGAGAGCTTCCAGCAGACGGGCTCCAGCTCATCCCGATTTATTCAGCCACTAAACCACCCAGCGTCGCACAGTCCCATCCCACTTTGGATAGCCACCACTGTCACAGCCTCCTTTTATCTCACACGCCAAGACAGAAAGATGTCGGGTCTTAATCCGGCACTTAGCTGAAAAGCGAAAGAAAAACCCCAAGCCGGCAGCTGTGTTTAGAACTGAGCCAGGAAATCGCCCCGGGGGAAGCCCAGCCTGGCGACGGGTTTTTATAGGGAACAATAGGAAAACGAGAGTCGTTAAAGCGCCGCGGAAATATTTGCCTGCTCGAGACAAAGCTCTGCGTGCAGAGAAGTTTAATTTGATCCTTACGATACGCCAGCGATTTAATTCCGAGAGCCCGGTCGGAGGGAGGCAGGACGGTCAGGCGGATTTGCTGGGGTTGGAAGTTGTCAGGTGGGACACTCCTTTCCCTCCCACCCAATTCGGATGGGGCATTCGGCTTCTCCCACTTTCTTACCTGCCAGGCTGCTCTTCCTGGATTCAAACGGATCGACTGGAGAGCTGAAACCCCCTGCTCCCAGTCCTGGGAAGCTGCACGGCCACGGAGCTCTTGTATTTTCCCTGAAATACTCCTATGAGCCAAGAAGCTGGGAAAACCACTGTTATTCCACAGGCAGAGAGAGCGACAGTGGCACGGCTGGAACGGGGAGGGCAGCTGCCTCCTGCTCAGCACTTTCGGTTTCTCTCTCCAAACACTCTCCTGGCGCCGTTTCCTCTTAAGGCGCTTTGCAAGTGAAAAGCTGCATTAGAGGCGAGATTAATCCTCCGAGGGGATAATAAAATCACAGAATCATGGAATCGTTTAGGTTGGAAAAGCCCTCTAAGGCCATGGAGTCCAACTGCTAACCCAGCACTGCTAAGGCCACCACTAAACCACGTCCCCAGGTGTCACGTCCACATGGGTTTTAAACCCCTCCAGGGATGGTGACTTCAACACTGGCCTGGACAGCCTATGCCAGGGCTGGACAGCCCTTTCCACGAAGCAGTGGCGTCAAAGGCTTTACCAAAGTCCAGGTAGACACACCCACAGCCTCTCCCTCATCCACCAAGCAGGTCACCTCGTCATAGAAGATCAGGTTGGTCAGGCAGGACCTGCCTGTGCCAAACCCAGGCTGGCTGTGCCTGATCCCCTGGTTGTCCTGTACGTGATGGCTCAGGGTGATCTGCTCCTGTCACCGGACTGACAGCCCTGTAGTTCCCCAAATCCTCCTTACAGCCCTTCCTGTGGCAGTGTCACATCTACTCACTTCCAGTCAGCTGGGACCTGCCCAGTTAGCCAGGGCTGCTGGTAAATAATGGAAAGTCTGTCCCCATCCATTGCAGCAATCCAGTTGTATGAGTCAATCCCACATGTTTCTGTGACAGCAACTGTGTCACAGCTTTCCTGATGCCCAGTGGCTTCCAGCTCCTCCTGTTGGTGCCTACGCTGTGGATGTTGGTGCAGATGCACTTCAGCTGGGTTATCAATCCCAACACCTTTTTGGGGAAGAAGTCCTAATTCCTATGAGACCATTCTCGGTCGCTTCCATGTTTTCCAGTACATCAATGACATCTGTGCTGCACATGGATCTCCATCTACCCCCTCCATGGAGAAGGGAGACCAAAGGACCTGGCTAGTACACTATCCCTCCACCAGGATTATCCAGCACAAAGATCCTTTTCCCTCTCGGAGCCAGGGGTATCCCACCTGTTGCCAGCAGCCCTGGTGTCACATAAACCCACACACAACAAAAAAAAAAAGTCAAAATAAACCTGGAGAAGTCATTCCTGCTTGCTTCTCACATTCACAGTCCCAGAGCTGGAGCAAAAAAAGCAGGACTTTCCTGCCTGGGCTTCCCACAGCCCAGCCCTTGCTCCTCCTCCTGATTCTCAGCATCTTGCCTGCTTTTTCCCTAGGCTGATCCAGCTTTAGCTCCAGCATCGGAGCAACCCGAGACCTGTCAGCCTTTGGCTGCGCTGAGGCAGCTGGTTGCAGCTAATTTGGTCCATGAGCTCCTGCTGCCCATCCATGCCTTGCCACTGGGGCTTTTTACTTCTCTTGGAGCACCGAGGCCAGGGCGGGCTCTTGTCTCCCCTTGCCATCCCTCCGGCACTGCATCCGTTTGTGAGCAGGACATGGGAGCCCTCCACGTGTGGCTGGAACCGTTTAGGTTTGGTTTTGCTCTTTGGCGGAATTCAAACCAGACAGGCAGAAAACCAGCACTTTGGATGGCTCGTGTTATTGCTCCAGCAGGGAAAGGCATCCAAAACCAATGCAGCTCCATCCCTGGTGGGTACTGCTGTGTCCCGGCACGGAGGAACAATACGCTGCCCATGGAGACGCCGAGGCTTTCCCATTCCTAAAGTCAGGAAGGAAATCACCACCACCTGTGGCCGTGGTGAAGCCACGTGGGTTTGGATCCTCTCCTGGAGCGCATTTTCCATGGGATCATTGGCGTTTCTCACCCAAGCCAGGGCACCTGCCAGGCTCAGGCAATGACTGGGCTCACTTGCAGATAAGCCCCATATCACATCATCACTGATGCCACTTCAGGGCCCTGTCAGCGAGTCGGGGTGGGGACATGGGCAGGACGGCCACTCCCAGCCTCACTCTGAGTGGTTCCAGGGTAACAGGGACAGGGGAGGTTTGGTCTGTGCCCATCGATCTTATCTTGTGTCAACAACACTCGGAGAAATGATTGCAGGAACCAAAACCAAACAAACCCAGCTCGGCCACACCAACCACCGCTGAGACCAGGAGAGCTTCAAGGCCCAAAGGAACACCCTCCAGGCTTCCACACCGACATTCCAAGGTGGCTGGACCACCAGAAGGATCTGCAACTCCTGCCACGGCCCAAGGGATGGAGTTGCTTGGGTTTACTGTGCAGCAGGAGTCTGATCCAGTGGGAGAGGACCTTGTCTCAGCCATGTCATCCCAAGGCAGAAGGTTCCAGGTGGTGATGGTGGGAGTGGAGGAGATGAACACCAGCTGTGCCTCTCTCCACCCCTTCCACAACCATGTGGTGTTTTATGGCTATGAGTGAATCACTCACAACACATCTTCTGCCACAGAGCCAAAGTGAAAGTGACAACAGGTCGCTGAGAGGGGTGACCCAAGGGGAAACACCTGGAGAGATGGTCCATAAGCACAAAAGCCCTCTTAGCAAAGCCAGATGTCCTATCATCCCACACATCATTTAGTCCAGGTAAGCAGCTGGAAGTCAGTCCTTCTGAATCTCCAGGTTTGGTTCAGTTTCAGTCTGGAGCAGCTCTGCCACTTTCTCACTGTGGAATCCTTCTCCTTCTCCTCCTCCCCATCACTGCCTGGTCCCCAGGACATGGCCAGGACCACCCGCTGGCCAACAACAGTGGCAGCAACCAGCAGTCATCCTCTTATTTCCATTTGGCACAGTTTGAAGGTCTGACAGATCCCAGAACATCCAGAGCACGCTGAACCCAAGGTGTCCTTCATGGCTGGTCCATCACAGGTGTCTCCAGTGACACCTGGAGCTGAGTGGATCTGAGCCTGGGCTGCAGAAGCGAGAGGTCCCAGCACAGCCGACCCACATGCACATCTTGTCCCCCCAAATCTGAAACAGCCTTTGACCAACCAGCAACGCCAGTGACCCAACCAGCAGACCTGGAGTGTCCAACTCAGCTGGAGAGGAGAAGGAATCCACCCTTGGGACGCAGCAGCCATGGTGTCAACTTTTACCAGGGAATAAAAATACACAAGCCTGAGCTGAGCAGGTGGTGAAGCAGAGCTCTGGGAGGTGGTGGAGGGGTTTCCTTCAGCAGCAAGACTGGGAGATGAGGAAGATCACCACCACACCCACCTCCAGCAGCTCCACCACCCACTCAGGACCAGGATGTCATCTGCGGGCATCAGCCCCGTGATTTGGTAATGGGATCACATCATCCCTCCTGCCCACTTCCGGCACGCAGCGCTGGGAGCATTATTTTCCCTTTTTTAATATGTTTTAAATACCTTAATTAGTGCATTTTGGGCTCCTTCCACATTGCCCCCAAGCAGTTCTTCTGTCAGGGGCTCTATCCTTCCACTGCCAGTTCTTAGCAGGACACAGGGTTGTTATTTTTCCGGGCCAGGGGCCAAATTAGTATTTAATTTTTGCTCCAGATGGCACAGCACTTCAGATGCATCAGCTGGAGCATCGAATCTGTATGAATAAAGTAATAGAGCAAACAACCTGATTTACTCAGGGGCTGTTTGACGCGCTCAAAGTGCTTTGCGTACACCTGTCATAAAAAATAAAAAAGCATTCAAACAAATTCAGGTGATGGTTTTGCTATCACACCCAACACCTGAGGGAAACGAAACTGCAATAGGAACCTAAAAAATAATGATAATGACATTAAAACTTGTATTTTGATTTCTATCAAGTCAAGGATAAAAAAATTAAAGGCTGATTTTGGCCATCAGGGTTGAGCCTGGACCTGGGTTTTGTTCACCTTCCCCTGTGCTCACCACCCCCAAAGCCCCAGTCATGCAAATCAGGGTCAAAGTTCTCCAGGAAAAGGGCTGGTGATCACAGATTTTAGAGTGGTGCTGAGAGCTTATGGCTCTGCTCACCCAAGGAGGACACCAGAGGACAACCATGAGATGTTCCACTTACACTTCTGGTGAATTCACCCCGTTCTAGGAAGCTGCCGCATCCCTCCGGCACAGCCTGCAGCTGGGATATGTTCCCTGCAAACTAAATCACCCAAAATAACTCAGAACAAAAAAAAAAAAAAAAAAAAAAAAAGACGTTGAGTAGTCGGTTTATCTGCCTGGGCACACTAAACGCCGCGTAAAACCAGCTGAGCCCGCAAACGCCTGGAAACAAAGGGATGGGAGGGGGGGGTGTGCTCGGCTTTGCTCCGTTCAGAGCATCCTTGGGCTGTGAGAGCCCGTCCTGGCGGCACCCGAGACAAAGGAAAGCCGGGAGCTGTAGGCAGGAGTCAGCTGGGGAAAACCGGGACGAGGAGGCACCCGCATCGCCCTCCCCGGCAGCTGCGGAGCCGGGCTCGCGTGTTGCCGAACACGTTATCCATGGCAGGAAACTGGAGATCAAAGGCGAGGAGCGTGCCAGAGCAAGATGTCATCCAAACCTCCTGCCAAAGGTGTGCACGGGAGGGGGGGGGAAACAACCCCCGGACACACACGCTGGCACATCCCACGGAGCCGGCGCCGCTCGGGGGGCGGCCAGACCCATGTGTGTGCTCTCCGCCGCGCACCCCGGCTAAGACAAAGGCAGGCTGAACTAAACAAATATCACACAAAACCGCAGGAGGTGCATTTTTACCCGTCGGTTTTCAGTCCCCAGCGACCCACGCACGTCCCCTGCCAAAGCGGCGGGTGCTGGGAGGGCACGGACGTGCCGGCACGGCAGGAACAGCAGCCCCCGTGTAACTCCAAAAAAGCAGCTTTTCCCATTTCTGGGTGTTAGTTTTTTGTTTGTTTGTTTGTTTTTGGTGGTTTTTTTTTTTTTTTTAAAGCTGAAGAAACCCGCAGCGTCCTGTCTCGGCCCCGGGAAAGCAAAGGGACGTGTCTGATTCCCAGCCAGCTGCTACCAGGAGCAGAGGTGACCTGGGGACTCCGAGCAGAGCGCGGGGTGGGACCCCCGGGAGCTCCCCCTCATCCAGGGGGTCCAGGCAGGATGGGTGGGGACACGTCCCTTTGCTTCGTGCCACTCCAGCCCCCTCCTGGGGGATGTGGTCCCAGGCCGCGGCCCAGTCCCTGCTCTTCCCCACTCTAGGCTGTTCCCCCTGCCCCACAAAGGGGACCTTATGGCACCCCTACAGTGCTATCAGGCACCCCAAAGGCACAGCCGAGACACCCCCTGAGGGTGTCCCTTTAGGGGTCTGCAGGGACATGGGGGCTGCTCCATTGCCCCATGGAGGTCCCTGTCTCATGGGTCAGAGAGGGAGGGCAGCCTGACCCCCTGATGAGGAGGGGGTGCCTCTGCCCCACGGGGGGAATGGAGGAGGAGCCCTGTCCCACAGAACAAGGCACAGAGAGGGGTCTCATCCCATAGAGGGGATGGAGAAGGGACCTTTCCCCACAGAACAAGGCACTGGGACACATCGCAGCCTCACAGGACAAGGCACGGGGAGAGGGGTCCTGCCCGAAGAGAGGATGGAGGAGGGACCCTTCCCCACAGAACAGGGCAAAGGGAGAGGTCGCACCCCATAGAGAAGGGACCTTTCCTCTCAGAACAAGGCTCAGGGAGGGGTCCTGGCCCCACAGGGGGGTTGGAGAAGGAGCCCGTCCCACAGAACAAGGCAAAGAGAGACGGACCTGCCCAAAGAGGGGACGGAGAAGGTGCCCTTCCCCACAGAACGAGGCACAGGGAGAGATCCCGGACCCACAGGGGCGCCGGAGAAGGGACCCAACCCCACAGAACAAGGCACTGGAGCGGTCCCAGCCCCACGGAGGGACTGAAGAAGGGTCCCTTCCCCACAGAACACGGCACAGGGAGAGGTCCCACCCCACAGGGGGGATGGAGAAGGGACTCTGCTCCACAGACGGGTGCACAGGAAGAGGGTCCTGCCCAAAGAGGGGATAAAGGAGGTGCCCTTCCCCACCAGAACAAGGCACAGGGAGGGGTCCCAGCCCACAGGGGGGGATGGAGGGGGGTCCCTTCCCCACCAGAACAAGGCACAGGGAGGGGTCTCACCCCATAGAGGGGTCCCGCGGGGGGGTCCCCGCCCCCCTCAGAGGCGCTCGGGGGGGCCCCGGTCCTCCGGCCCCCCAGGGGGCTCCCTCCCCCCGCACTCACCCGCCGCCGCGCTGTCCCGCCGGGGCTCGCGCCGCCCGCACCGCCCGGCCCGGGCAGGACCCGGATGGAGCCGCCCCGCCCCGCCCGGCGCCGGGCACGGCTTCTCCGCGACTGCTGCGCATGCGCGAAATGGGGGGGGATAACGGCACGGGGAGGGGCGGGGCCAAGAGCGGGGGCGGGGCTAAGGGAGGGGGGTGACGGGGGGGGACAAGGGAGGGGGACACCGAGGACAAGGGGGACGGAGGGAGGCGACACAGGAGGGGGTGACACGGGGGGACAGCGGGACGGGATGGGACAGGGAGAGGTGAAGACGGAGGGGGGTGACGGGAAGGGGGTGATGGGGTGACAGGGGGACGGCGTGGAACGGGGGAGGTGACAGGGGAGGGGGGTGACAGGGGGTGACACGGGGGGACAGGGGGAGGTGATGGGGGGATGAAACGGGGTGACAGGGGAACGGGATGGCACAGGTAGAGCGGACACTGGGGACAGGGTGTGACAGGGGGACAGAGTGACACAGGGGGACGTGACAAGAGAGGGGGTGACACGGGTGACAAGGGAAGGGGGTGGCAGGGGGATGGGGGGAACAGGGGGAGGTGACAGGGTGACAGAGGGACAGGGGGACGTCTTGGAACGCGGGAGGTGACGGGAGGGGGGTGACAGGGATTGACAGGGGAGGGGGTGACACGGGAAGACGGGGAGGTGAAGGGGGGTGAAACGGGGTGACAGGAGGACGGGATGGGACAGGGACAGTTTATAGGGGGCAGTGACGGGGCAGGGAGTGGCTGCGGGGGCATGAGGAGGCATTGGGGACATGCGGTGACGCTGGGCAGAGGGTGGCACTGGGGGCAGGGGGATGATGTAGTGGGGGCTTGAGGTGACTGTGGGGACGAGAGGTGGCACCGGGGACAGGGCAGTGTGACATTGGGACGAGCATCCCGCGCTCCCGGGCGCTGTGACATTGGGATGAGCATCCCGCGCTGTGACAGCAGGGACACTGGGATGAGCATCCCGCTCTGTGACAGCAGGGACACTGGGATGAGCATCCCGCTCTGTGACAGCAGGGACACTGGGATGAGCATCCCGCGCTCCCTGACGTGGTGCCGAGGGAGGACTCGCCGGCCTTTCCTGACCTCGGGATTCCTGAGCGATGAGATGAGTTAGGGAGCCGATCTGCTGGATGTATTCGCTGGGTGAAGCCTTATTCCCGCTGTGGGAATCCCCGCTCCGCATGGCAGGGATTTGCCTGGACACGCTGGAGATGCCTGTAGCCGGGAGTCCTGGGCTTGGGAAGAGGCTGTGTAGCCGGGGCCCCGAGGGGACCTACTGCCGGCAGCTGACTGGAGGAATTTGGGAAGCAAATGCACTCGGAGATCAAGTTCTGTCATTCCTCCCACGCTGGGTGACCAGCCCCGGGCACCCCTGCAAAGCCCGGAGCCACAGCCGGAGGGGAAGGGAAGTGCTTCAGGCCGGAATTCAGCTTGTCCTTGGCACAGATAGAGCCATGGAATTGTTTGGGTGGGAAGGGATCTTTAAAGGTCATCTCATTCCAACTCCCCTGCCATGGACAGGGACAACTTCCACTAGCCCAGGTTGCTCCAAGCCCCATCCAACCCAGCCTTGGACACTTCCAGGGATCCAGGGGCATCCACAGCTTCTCTGGGAAGCCTGTGCCAGGGCCTCCCCACCCTCACAGCCAACAATTCCTTCCCAATATCCCATCTAACCCTGCCCTCTGGCAGTCAGAAGCCATTCTCCCTTGTCCTATCCCTCCATCCCTTGTCCTATCCCTCCATCCCTTGTCCCAAGTCCCTCTCCAGCTCTCCTGGAGCCCCTTTAGGCCCTGCAAGGGGCTCTCAGCTCTCCCTGGAGCCTTCTCTTCTCCAGGGGAACCCCCCCAGCTCTCCCAGCCTGGCTCCAGAGCAGAGGGGCTCCAGCCCTGGCAGCATCTGCGGGGCCTCCTCTGGACTCTCTCCAGCAGCTCCACGTCCTTGTGCTGTTGTTCCCAGGGCTGGAGCAGCTCTGCAGGGGGGTCTCACCTGAGCAGGGCAGAGGGGCAGAATCCCCCCCTCTCTTGCTGCCCACGCTGTGGGATCAGCCGAGGACACGGGGGGGTCTGGGCTGTGAGTGCACATCACTGTCTCATTTCCAGCCTTTCATTCACCTTTTCCCTGGAAGAGAGAAAGAAACCCCAAACTGGCCTCTCAGTCACGGAGGGCTGTGAACATGGGCAACGCACGGTGTCCATCAGGACTCAGTGGTGGCACAGGGCTCACGGACTCTGCCTTATTCCCAGGACCTGCTGCCAGTTGTAGAAAACAGTTCCTGTGATGTACCACCCTCCCTGCCTCAATTTCCCTTTAGGAAGCACTGCTGCCTGCCTGGGGACATGACCAAGAAAGTCCCCTTGGTGGAAGGGGAAGGGCTGGATGGGCAGTGTCCTGCCTGTGAGGATGTGGGATGGGAGGGTGTGGGGATGTGTCCCCACACAGACCACTGAGGGTGTGGGGATGTGTCTCCAAACTCTGATTCCCACCCTGCCCACAGAGGGAACTTCACTGCTCACTTTCTCCCTGTTCCTGCTGATAACACCCTGTGGTATGTACAGGAATTCCAGTTTTTCCTACTGGATGTGTGAAGGCATTTGCGATCCAGCCCAGCTGCATGTCCAGGCCTTACAGAGATGGGATGATCAGGGAAGGTGGGTCTCTCCCATTAAAAAGGTGGAAGACTTCTCCATTCTCCTCTCTATTCCTCTGTGGTGGTGCTGGACCATGAATGCCGTGGCAGATCTGTTGCTACCCCAAAACAGATGGGGTGACAATCACAGGGGTGGGACCTGCGCATCCCATGGAAGTGAGTGGAGGCTGAAGTGGTGGCAGAAGTCCTGAGTCACCACCTCCCGCATCCTGCCAGGATCTCCTGCTCCTCTGAGGCTGCCGTGGGCAGATCATGGCTTTAGGACAGACAG